TATGTATGTATGTATGCTTGCTTGCACAAAGATCTCGAAAACGGCTCCGACGATTTTCTTCAAATTTTGTAAATAGTTTATTTTTGGCCTAAAAACAAGTTTACTGCAGTTATAACTGCCAACAAAAATCTAATTACGTGGAAAAATGAAACTGAAAGTCACATTTTTTTAACATTAGTCTAATGGGTTGCTAAGTAACCATGTTGGTTGAATGAAATAACAAGGAAAAAGTAAACAAAAGACTTGTAAGTTGTAACACATGTGTTCATAAAGGCATCTACCCACAGTGTAGTAGAAATTATAAAATACAGTACAAAAGCAAAAACATCACTTGTTACTATTGAGCAATGATTATACTGAAGCTTATTCGATACATTGTAGGAAATGTTAACTTAGCAGTGCGGAGTGTGGGATCTATTATTACGATTAGATTAAGGCCTAGATTTCCCATCCTTATGGAACAGCTGAATCCAATTTTATTGTTAGTTCTGTCCGTCTTCTGTAGATGTCGTGCTTTGTTTACCATTTGTTTCTTGTTATTTCAGTAATTTAAAACCTCGCTTAACCAAATAAAGATATTTAATCATAAACGATAACTCGTTCACTATCTTACCGTACTATATTACTATATTACTATCGTTGGCTATATAACCAAACAGTGAGACACAAATAATGAGAAACTAACCAAAAAATAATATAAACAAATTGTAAACAAAACACGACATCTACAGAAAACCAGACAGAACTAACAATAAAAGTGGCTTCAGCTGTTCCATAAGGATGGTAAGGTATCTGCACTCCTAAAATGCTATGGGAAGGTAAGGAAACAGGTCCGCGACATAGGAAGTGGTGAAGGAAGTAGTCAATGCAAGCTATCCTGAGTGCGGGAACTGTTTATGACGATTAGATTAAAGTATCTGCAATTATAAAATGCTAAGGGAAGGTAAGGAAACAGGCCCGTGACGTAGGAAGTGGTAAAGGAAATAGTAAAGGTGAGCGGGACGGAGTGTGGGAACTGTTTATGACGATTAGATTAAGGTATACCCAATCCTAAAATGCTATGGGAAGGGAGGGAAACAGAGGTCCGCGACGTAGGAAGTGGTGAAGGAATTAGTAAAGGCGAGTAGTCCAGAGTGTGGTAACTGTTTATGACGATTAGATTAAGGTATCTGCAATCCTAAATGCTATGGGAAGGGAGGGAAACAGGTCCGCGACGAAGGAAGTGGTGAAGGCAGTAAGTAGTAAAGGTGAGCGGTCCGGAGTGTGGGAACTGTTTATGACGATTATATTAAGGTATCTACAATCCTAAAATGCTATGAGATGGGAGGGAAACAGGTCTGAGACGTAGGAAGTGGTGAAGGAAGTAGTAAAGACGAGCAGTCCGGAGTTTGGGAACTGTTAATGACAATTAGATTAAGGTATCTACAATCTTAAAATGCTATGGGAAGGGAGGAAAACAGGTCTGAGACGTAGGAAGTGGTGAAGGAAGTAGTAAATGTGAGCAGTCCGGAGTGTGGGAACTGTTAATGACAATTAGATTAAGGTATCTACAATCTTAAAATGCTATGGGAAGGGAGGAAAACAGGTCTGAGACGTAGGAAGTGGTGAAGGAAGTAGTGAAGGCGAGCAGTCCGGAGTGTGGGAACTGGAAACCATTGTAACAGTTAGATTTATGTATCTGAAATTGAAATACTGAAATGCTATGAGAAGGGATGGAAACATGTCCAAGACATAGGAAATGGTGAAAGAAGTAGTAAATGCTAGCAGTGCGGAGTGTGGGAAATGTTTGTGGCAATCAGATTAATGTATTTAAAATACTAAAATGCTATGGAAAGAGATGAAAATAGTTCCACGGCGTAGGAAGTAGTAAAGTTTAGCATCGCAGATTGTGGGAACTGGGAACCGTTTGTGGCAGATAGATTAATGTATCTGTAATTCTTAAATGCTAGTTAAGGGAAGTAAACAGGTCCATGACGTAGGAAATGGTGAAGAAATGTAAATGCTGGCATCGCAGAGTGGGGGAATGATTTTCCCCGAGCAAAGCTCGGTCCCCAGGTACTGAAAAGTAAACAAACTACAACAAAAACAAATCTAACATTGGCATTTAAGTATGTGGTTGATAGTTACAGCTTACAGTTTTCTCAAAAGTCCAAATCCATCCTAGCCTCCTTATATGTATCGATAATTTAAATTTAGTTTTAGGTCTAGTGTTGTTCCAGATTGTTCAAATTTATTGTAAGAAAACTACTGTGCATTAGGAGGAATGTGAAGACATTGGTTCTAGTTAATTACGGAAAGTAAATAAAAGAAACGTCTTATAACACTTAAAACATATATTTACGCTTATACTGTTACTCACAAGACGGTAAATATACAAAAACGATGGTAAGTGGTTAAAACAAGGGTACCACTTACCATCGTTTTTGTATATTTACCGTCTTGTGAGTAACAGTATAAGCGTAAATATATGTTTTAAGTGTTATAAGACGTTTCTTTTATTTACTTTCCGTAAATTTAATAACACGTACAATGCTGATCAAGAAGTTATCTAGTTAATTAGTCATCGTTTAGTGGAGGTTTAGTGGAAGGAGTTCTCCAGTAAAGAAACTGTTCATCTCTCCTGAGAGATATATGCTGCTTAGGTTGGGTGCTCATTACTGAGACTGGGTCACCCACAATAAATCTCATAGCTAAAAGTTAATGTTTTTTTTAGGGAGAGGAGGGAAAATGCTTTTACGCACACATGTAGCCAGCCTGTAGTGTGAGACTCCTGAATCTATCACAGACTACTCACTAAAAAAACCCCTCTACTCTGTTGGACACAGACCTGGAATTGTTTGTCACATTACTTCAAGTCAGGCCAACATGGGACCTAAGCCCTGAGGGCTCTCACCGTTCTACTAAAATTTCAAAATTATATTGCCTTATAAATCTCAAACAAATGTTAGGCCTACATATGGAAATTCAGTTCAGAAAAGAAGGGTTCATACCTTAGCTCTGTGATTGAATACCCCAAAATAACTTTATACATTTAACTACAAAATCTTAAACCTATATAAATTGAACTCTCAATAACAAGACAGAATTATGGCACACATTTTGTGAGAGGAATTCTCAGGTATTACACAGTAGGCTATTTATAAAAATGACATGATTTGAAAGTACAGAGGGTGGAGAAGACCAAAGAGAAAGTGAAAGTGACATGTGACAATCAGAGGGATGAAGAAAGGATTTAATTTATCTTTGATTTTTATTGTATTATGTTATAAACATATATATTCCTTTTTAAGGAATTTGAACTCATTTCAGACACTATATAAACAATGACAATACCTTTTTGTATTAAAAATTTAACTTTAACTTTTAAATTTGTTCTACTGAATAGCATATACTGGATGCTATTGATTTGGTCTTAGGTGACAATTTAAAATTAATTTAAACTTGTACCCTATGTAATATACTTAGTTAAACTCATGATTTGCTACCGATAAGTGATCGATTCCCACAAAAATCCACAAATGTTTTTTACTATGCAGATAAAGTGGTGTAAATTTTCCTTGAACAACTCTCAGTATTTTATTGTACATATTTAGTTTTAGATTAAATACAAAGGTTTTAAAAAAGTATGGTAAGCAATTTGAATTAAGTTCAAAGTCCTTTACCTATTATTTGTGATATCTAACCTTGAGCATCTTGTCAGGTGTTTGAAAACAGCTTAAGAGGATAATACTGTTTTATTATAAACATACAGGGTGTCCCGTAACTCTCTGGACACATGTATCGTTATTGCTTAGGTCAAGACAAACACATTTCATCATAGGAACATGGGTCTGTGGTGCCTAGTTTTCAATCTGTCTGTATTTATGTGTTTTTTACAAAAAAATTAATAACTCCTAAATGGTTTGAGATACAGTGTTGAGACTTCGCAAAAATATTTATCTTAATAAGACCTATTTTTGTTTACAAAAAAAAGTTTTACTAAAAAATCATCAGCCTATTCGTGAAGAAAACTACTACAAACTATACTTTCCAACGATATAGACCATCAGCCTTACATTTTTTCAGCTTTTGCCTTCTTCTGGTAATTCTTTTTGACTGATCCCCACCAAATGGTTTTTAGCCTTCCCCTTTTCCTACTTCATTGCGGGTTCCAGTCTAGACTCTAGAGTTTGCTGGCTAATATTGTTGTGACCCTTCCTTAGGGCGTGACTTATCAATGCGTAGTTCCTTCTTTTAACTAAGATTTCGCCAGGGTCCATCTCGTTTCTCCTATATTTTTAATTACAGTCCATGTTTTTAGCCGCTAACCTGTAACCTAACAAAAAAGTTGACTTTACCTTTGTCATGTTGTTAGCCTCCAGATCACTGGTATAGTAATAAATAATGGTTTAAATACCAGTTAAATACGTTTCTACTATACCTTCTGTCAAAATGATCTTTTGGATTAAACTAAGGATCAATTTGACAGTATAAGGTATTATTTATTTATAACCATTATTTATTACTATTACCTTTGTCAATCAGCTCAAAAGTTGTAATTGTTGTTTCAGCCTTTTAGCAAATTTCCCCTATATGGAATAAGCTATTTTAGTATTACAATACCTCAATTATACACATGAGGTGCTCAGCTGAAGCAGCGTCGTTAAAGTAAAAACAAATAACATGCACGAATATTGAAACAACCAGTAAACATAAAGAAAGGAACAAGCCTGTTGCACATACGATACTGGTTGACATTGCCACGATCTGAGCAAGATGCCGAATGGGGGGTATTCCTACGTTGTTCCTGGCATGGCAGCCAACACCAGGAACAACGCAGAAATAACCACCAGTCATTGAGGATGCTGCTTTAGCCGAGATCTACATGTATCTGATGATGTCATTGAAACATCTAAACAACAGTTAAAGCTTCAATTTTTTTTAACATGAGGACTTAGGACTTGCCTACAGTGTAATGAACGACTTTATCTACAGTGGAATAATTCTACTCAGAGACTTACCCTCCCAAGACGTTGTATGACTCCAGATGCCACTTGTAGTAGCATATCCTTGGTTTGTCTCCTGCTCTACACTCCCTGGTACACAATGTTTGGTCGTTATGTCTCAACTCATCGTAGCGGCCACTGTCTACATCATCTGGCTGAGGAACTACAACAACACATGTCTCTGGTGAGAGATCCTGATCATGGTTGGGCAATGTCACATTTTATAATAAAATTATTGTTTTAAATGGAATTATGTTTAATTATTCTTTCTAATAAAGTTTTGATTATGTTAGAATACAGTTAGTTTGCCCAAACGAACATGCGCACCCAACTGAATTGTTTTAAGGTGATTGACCTTCTTCCTTGGAGTTTTTTTTTTTTAGGTTCAGAATTGCTTCCTGGTTCTTGACCTGTCACAAGGGTGGGCAGTGGCGGATTCACAGAGGGGCTTAGAGGGGCTATAGCCCCCCCCCCCCCCTTTGATGTCCAATTTAAGCTCGATAAAATGGTACTTTATGATATAGGTTAACTATATGTCTATACTGGAAATCCATAGGTTCGTGGTCGTGGATAACAGTACTAACTGCATGACAACGCCCCAATAGAATATTTGCATAGCTACCTACCATGTTCAAGGTCACTCACCCAAAGTATTCATTTCTCCACACGCGCCAAATCGAAATCGCAGATCTGCAGTACTACCACAATCATAGTTACACACCCACTAGCATTTAGTAGTTTAAGTGTACCGTACTCACGAGATCAGTTGATCAGTTCCCTCGTTCCCTCCCTGGCTTTCCCCAGGATTAGTTTGAAGTGTGTTGTATTATTTACTACGTAACCTTAAACGCTATTCATCTCGTTTTGTTTTTGAGATTTTGCTTACAATGAAAAAGTTGACTACCTACTTATTTTTCTTATGTTAATTAGCGAAGAAAGTGATAATGGTGTCATGTTGAAAGATGAGGTGAAAAAGGAAGTGCCATCAACATCAACAAGTCTTGCTGTTTCAACAAATATAGGCCTAGTATCTTCATCTTCAATGGATTGTTTTCTATTTTGTGACATTAAACTGCCTTTGGAGTGCCTTTAAATACATTTGTTTATTATTGTTTGTTATTACCCATTTAGATAGTAAATCCAACTCTTTAACCTACAAAACTTGAGTTTGCACCAGAAAAAAGAAAACTGTCTGGAACTGGAAGTAAACAAATGCCCAAACCGGACCTTACTTTATGAAGGTCATAAAATTAGGTTTATTCTTCCCTTTTTGAAATGTTGTCTTTGGTCTCTGGTAAGTAAAAGAGCATTAATTTTTATTTCAAACGTTACATTTCTATAGAACGACCAATAAGTAACCTTAAAATATACTTATTTGACCAAAGGTCTACAGTCTTTTCAGGGGATAAAATCCCCCTTTTCCCCCTACATTTATTTAATAGACAAAAGCGATATCCACAGACTGTGTTTAAAGACAATAGAAAGATAATAATTCACGGCTGTGCAAAATCGAGGAATCAAAAAACAAAAATGAACATGAATTTTAAAGTTAGTGTTTTATTTTGTACTTCACATTATAAAATTATTCCATTAAATAATCGTGACAATAATAGTAATAAAAAAGTTGGTAGTTTGGCAAAATTGCTGTTCTCAACAACAGTTTAATAGCGATTTTTTGACTAAACTTAGGACAAAGAAATGGTCTAAAACTGCCATTTTGGATACTTAAATTACAAAAAAAATTTTCGGGGGGGGCCTGCTATTCAATACCCCACAGAGGGCCCGTCCCACTTTGTGACTGTTCTAGATAGACTGTCTGTTAGACTGAGGGTGGGTAAGCATTAAGCAATGGACATAGCTTTTCTGCTTTAATACTAGGCCAGTATACATTGCTATTATGGTAATGTACAGGCAAGGAAGGGGGGGGCCTTAACTGGGTTTTTTTGGGAAATTTTACCAGGACTCGGACTTGGGATGGGCTCTGCCACACAGCCCTCCCTATCATAACAATCATATGATTATTACCATACGTTTTTATGAAAAAAAATTGTTAAAACCATGAGCGCTACGTCAAGTAGTTTCCAACAGCTAAACTGACACTACTTAACCGATCGATGGGAACTCTCTAACAACCAAAGTCAAAAAATAGTCTGCAGTCATGTGGGCTGCATCAACTCTCCTTGTGGCCTGCGTGAAAGCGCTATGATAGGACCGTATTTAGAATAGGTGAGGTCCCCGCCAGCTCAAACCAGAGAGGCCCCTCTTTATTGATTCAACTGAATGAACAACCATTAATTTTTACGATGAAATTGGAGAATACGCCTATGAGGCTAGGAAAATAGCTAATAAATTCTATTCTTTCAATAATACTATTAGGGGACTGCAGACCAGATTTTCTTACTTCGAGCAGGTCAAAATGTTACATTTGGGTCACTGGCCAAAATCAGGTCCGTTCAAAATCAGTTTTCTTTGGAAAGTGTTTTTTAATTTTTTTATTTATTATTATTTATTAAGTATTATTTTAATTAATTTATTTTATTAATTTTTAAAGTGTTTCTTTTTTAAAAGAGAATATTGATTTTCCAGCCGAGTCGAGCCTCAGAGATCTAGCATTAAGTCAGAAAATCAAGCTTGAGCATCAGACTATGAATCCCGTGCCATGATTGCCATTTGATAGCTCTTTTATAGTTGATGAGCAAAGCTTAGGTTACCTTATTTATTTTATTTTATTATATCATTTTGTTTTATTTTATATTTTATTTCAAGACAATAAACTTTAAGTACATTTTATAGAGGGTTTTTTACAACTTGAATATGAATATCTCTGAAGGCTGGCTAAACAAGAAAGTATTATATGATTTTTTTTTCAATATGAAATTACTCAATATATTACTTTAAAAACTTGATGTTCACTTACTTGGTTGAAGGTGACAGAATGCAAGCGATATCCAGAATACTAATAACACCAACGTCCTGATGCCAGTTGATGTCCTAAAAATAGAACAATAGATAAATAGAAGTTAAATTAATTAAAATAAATACACACTTTTCAACATTTAATCTGAATGCTACATAAAGCAACATCGTGTAGTCCACTAATCAATAATGATCCGCAATGATGTAATGATGTTTTGAAAATTAATGTAAAAGTAATGACTCTCGTTGGAACCATATAAATTTGTGTTCTGTAGGCAAGCACAATTTTTTTTAAATAAAACCTTTTAATTGTTAAAATTAAAAGGAATAATTTGAATTTGACAAATTAAAGTGTACCTATGGAGTTTCATTTAGGCCAACTAAAAATCAATATTTTATGTATTATTAATTTAAGAAATTGTAATTTAACAGAGTATTGAATATTTTTACTTAGGACATCTTTAATTATTATAGGTAGGTTGAAAATATCTAACTAAAACAAATTAATATGCCACCTATCTCTTCAAGTTTTATATTTTAAAATGTATATAATTAATCTAGAAGTAAAATTATTTTGCTTCAACTAAAAGAAAATTACATACTAAAAAAATATTACAAATCAGCACTAAAACAATAAAATACACATAGCCTTATAAATTATTTTTCAAATATATTTATAGTAAAAGTGAAATAAATGTCAAAATTAAAACTTTTGTCTCATGTTGCAAAATCATTATGCTTTTTCAATCTATTTTAAATTTCTTCATCTAAAACAATTCAAAACTCAAGAATAGAAATAAAGTTTGAAATATCAACTCACATGATTTATGCAGATTCTTCTACACTAGTCACAAGTCCATTGGTAATGACTGATGGCTATTGTGTCCCCAATCTTTGTGACCTGAATATCTACATGCAGAAGGGGTGTGAAGATGCAAGTGAAAGTTGATGCCTTCAAACAATTTCACTATTTCCAGCTCAAACCCAGGAGATACTTTCTTGCTCAACATTTCTTCTTGTTTAAATGTTACATAAAGCTTTACTTTAATCGGGTTCAAAACAACAAGGGTATTTTTCAGAAGGTCACAAGATTTAGGTCTTCCTCTTTCTAACTATAGTTGTAGTTGCTAAAAAAGTTATTTTTATCTTGATGTCACTTAGAACTAAAGTGGGTGTACTAAATTTGTTTTTCAAGTTAGTACATCTAATAATTTGTGATTAGGTAAAATGTCAACAAAGTTTAAATACCATGTTGATTTATAACTACAACTACATTTTTTTTATTTGCTTGCTTAGGGAATTTCCTCACAACCCTTTTATTTTCAGAATAAAAAATTTGGTAATTTACATTTTATTCTTTATTAAATTACGTAAATATCTTATAATCTGTTACGGAGAAAATTCCAAAAACTCTACATTTAAGATTCACATGTTTTTCTTATGGAGAAAAAGAAAATTGTTGTGCAACTAACAATTAACAATTGTAAACTAACAATTAGAATTTAACGTTAGTTAGATAGGGGTGCTCCATCTATTGGTCTTGTGTGATCGTTGGCTTCAATATACCAAATTATTTTTTTGTTTTAAGGTCTAGAAAATGGTTACAAAAGAAATTAGGAAATTTTGGGGTCAAAAATGGGAAAAACTCGTTCGAATAAATGTAGGTTTACACGTTTATACCAAATTTCATCCAGCAATAATCTTTTTACCATTAGTCAAAAATGGGAAAAACTCGTTAGAATAAATGTAGGTTTACACATTTATACCAAATTTCATCAAAATCGGATACTTTTTGTTCGAGTTATCGTGCTAACAGACACACATATATATATATACTAGTGGCATGTAGGGACATAAGTCCCTAAAAAGCTCAAAATGTAAAACAACTTATTTTAATATACCAAAGAGTCAAATTATTTATTTGTAAAGATGGATATCCCTGTACACCATATCTTTGTCTAAAAAGGTCTCTCTGTTGGGTTATCTATTACAGTATATATTAAATGCAATGTTTGTCCATTATGCGGTAGGCTACTAAAAGACCATCCGATCGTGATGAAACTTTAGGGAAGTAAATAAGTACAATACTATACAAAATTAATAGTTTTATTAGGCACATTGAGTAATATTTTATGGTTTTAGGATTCCCTTTCCCAATTGTCGAAGCTAATATTGACAGTTGACATGTTGATCTTTGGTTTGATTTTTGATTTTCAAAAAGTCTCAATTATGTGTATGTTATCCCTCGTTTTAATACATTATATAGTGCATTGCATAGTTAACTGGCTAAGAATTAAACCATCTGCGTGGATTGAATACTGGCTTGGAAATATAGCGCGATCAACTATATTAAAGTAAACAAAAATCAGCTGTGTATGGCTTCCAATGCTAATCTTATGGAGAACATTTTACGTGATATCTAAATTTCTGTTAACATTTTGGGAAATCCACTATTTTTCCTGCCGTCACGAGATCGAGACCTTTAAATTTAGCCCTCCCCCGTGGTTCTACGACATCCCGGTCGCCCACAATTTGACGCAAAGAATCGCCTTACGTATAAATAAATATATATATATAAATGAATTTGAACGGATGGTGTTTTTGGCCTCTAGGGACCTCAAAACGAAAAAAGTAAATCGGTCTCAGGTCCAGTTCTTACAATGAGTACTACGGTAATAGCTTATTCCCTATATGGGAAATTTGCTAAAAAGATGTTTCAGTCTGATGCCCCGAACAGGGGTGTGCGCCTCCACTCAAATATTTTTTCATAGTGATAAAAATATACAGGGTTAGGCAAAAGTCTGGAACCTCCCAGTTAACTTTTTGACGCGTTCCAGTAGGAAAACCAAACTCGGCACATATTTACAACATAAGAAATTGCACTTTTTCATCAAAGATAAAACTATTTTGGGAGCTCCAAATTTTCAAATGTAAACACCTACCATGTGACCCCTGTGAATCATATAAAAAATCACTCCAAGTATCAACATCCTTGTCATTATGTCTCTATGCCGATGATGCCAGTTTGAAAATATCGGGTTGTTCATCAGAAGTCATAGAAATTTCAAGTCTGATAGAACTTACTAGTTTAGATCAGCATTTGAGCAATCATAACTTAACATTGAATTTAGATAAAACCAATTTATAAATTTTAGGACAAAGCAGAGCAGGAAAATTGTCAACCCAAATTTAGAAGCAAATGAAAAAAGTATTAAAATGAAGGAGCAGTTGATATTTTTAGGTCTTGTGGTCGATAACCATCTATCATGGGATAGTCACATAAGATCTGTTATAGGTAAGATAACTTCTAGTCTGTTTGCTATACAAAAATTGTCTTCCTTGTGTATGAGTTTAAAATTAATTTATTACTCTCAAATAGTCTCATATTTCAAACGGAATCTGCATTCATGGCGCCACAACAAAAGCAAACTTGAATGCCATTTTGAGAGTAAAAAAAAAAAAAACAATTAGATTAATGCTAAATCTAAATGATGATTCAAAGTTTGATGAGTCACTTAATGTCCACTTTAAAGAACTAAATATCCTAACTGTGTATAGGTTATATGTATTGCGGACGGTAATGTTTGCTAAATGGAATGCAATAGATACATCTTAAACACATGTCCACAAATATAACAAAAGAAAGAAAAATATCTATTTGCCTGAGAGTCATAATTTAGAGTTTTGCAGAAATAAAACGTTTACTATAAACAGCTTCCTGAAAAAAATTCCACAAATAATAAAAAATACCCCCAGCCGCAGCAAACCTGCAGACTATGCAAATTGACATTTGCCTCATTGGATTTACACTAAAATGCAGCCTTAAAATATCACACCTTAAAATATATCACATTTATTCCCTATTTAAATAGAATTAGTTTAACGAGTACTTAGGTTTGCTGCAACAGGGAGGGTAAAAAAGTGTTTTTTGTTGCAAAATGTTAATAGTTTAGTAATAAATTAATGTATTTTCCAAATTTGATCAAAATATGTTTACAAACAAGCAAACTACAACAGTTCACTTATTTTAATTTACAATTTTTTTGAATTTTCTCCATAAAACCATTAGGCATAATAACGCTTTAATATAGTAAATTATTTGTTTTTTAAGCTCTACAAAATGGTTTGGAAATATATTGTAAAATGTTGTGTTTTTAGGGTCAAAAATGGGAAAAACCTATTTTTACTCCCATAATCATAAAATGTGTACCCTGGTGTGTTGGCATAGTAAAAATATCTCTAATTCCTCATAAACTTGAATGTTTAGTTTGGATCTTTGATTGGACCAAAGATTACATACCTATGCTGCGCAAAATAGATATTGCACCTTACGGCAATTTTGTGCCAAGTCGTTTTTGGATGGGGACACCTTCACGTAGTTGGGTGGTCTCTCAACAGAGGCGCTGTGTCAAGTCTCGATCTGCATTACCATTCAAGTTCGGGTGAGTTCGGTAATGTTCGCGTGCTCGGGATTAACCTGCCTGTACGCGACGCGCTCGCCGACCCGTCGTCATCGTACGGTATCTCTAGTTTGAAAGTGCACAGCTGTCATTAATGTACCATAACTTTATCTTTTTACAAAAATGGCATTTATTTATTTAAAATTAAAGGGACCATGTAACAAAGAGCTAAAGGATACTAAAGGTTTACTGATATAAACATGAATTAATAAAAATCTTCAAAAATTGCAGTCACAGTGATATAATAAGCTTACAATGTTATACTAGTTTTTCTGCATTGAATTTTAACGTACATTATTTAGAAAACCCTTAACAATTTAGAAATTTATAATTCTTACAAGTTTTAATAATTAGTGACTATTTGTGAGTTCGTCCACTTTTGTGTTTTCAGAATTTTTATCCACAATGTTTGCTTCCGGATTTCTAGACTCATGCAATATCTTGCTACTAACTCACGATGAGGAATGTATGTTTAGTCAACTACTATCTAACCATTCACTGGCTACTTGACCTTTTTAAACATAGCAATATACACATAGTTTGTAGGAAGAACATTTATCTACACAGATCGGCATTTGTTTTCAAACTACGTATTATCTCGTCACATTATTGGTGTTTTGTAAGTGCCGTTTGCAACTGAGCTTTGAAGAAAATGTAGAGCATAAGATATAAAATATAGATTTTAGATTTGGATTGTTTTTATATAACAAATCTTTTAAATGACGACTATATAAAATAAATTTAAGAACACATAGTTTTAACAACAGCGGATCCTTAGTTGTACATAAATTAAAGAGGTTATCTTTACCTTGTAAAAACGGTATTTAGGTTGGAAATTGGAGGTCAGTCACACTCTCGCAACCACACGAAAGTGAACTAACCCGAGAGACCCGACATCCCAATTTACTGGTATGGCCTGTTTTAAACATTATATTAAACAATAGGTCGAATAATTTGTACCGGAAGCCTCTAACATTTTAAATTTTACAACCTGCATTTTACCTGTACCTGCATTTTTGCCTGTACATTTTACAACAGGCATTTCGTTCGCCTTTCCAGTATTGCTATTCATAATAAATTCCTGAATCAACATTAAGGCATTGTATTGGCGTAGCCAGGTTTGGATTGGAGCGCCCTGGAGCAGAAATTGCCAAACCACCCCTCTCCAAAATTGAACACCATAAATATATAGCCTAGGATACTTTATTTCCCTCTAAGTGGTCTTCGTTGATAAACACTTAAACCACAACGTTCAATGTACGTCTATTTTCAATTGACAATAAATTACAAGGTAGTTTGAAGGTAGTTAGTAATATATTTCGGAACTCTATCATAACTGTTTTTAAGCAGACTCTAAAGATAATGAGACATTGACAGTAGAAATACTGGTGAATTTATCGCTATATGATGTAGGGCCTGCCGCGAGACGGTGGTGATCGTCTGTAGATGCAGTAATGAGTGCAGACTGCTGAGTGACAACTGGTATACATCCATAGTTTGTTAGTACATAACTAGTCATGTTGGTAGGCCTACAGCTTCCTTTTTACTTCTCATATTATTTATAAAGCAGATAGGTTCAAAATGTAGTTCACACACTAAAAGTGAATGTAAAGCAGTGTCGGGAAGGCCTTTCCGTTTTTTGATGCCGTATTTGCCATTTATCACATACACTCGTCTTAATACCTGGTATTGTTCATGAAAATATCCACATCATAATACAATTGTAATTCACTACACATAATACTAACACTTTTTCACTCTTGCTAATCCATCTTCTAATAAACCTCCTGTTACTTACATAACCAAACAACCACAAATAAAGGTTAACCATAACAATAAACAACAACAAAAAATACGTAAATAACAGCTAGTCATGTCGGCAATGAAGTCTTGGGCCTAGCGAATGTCGGTTCTAAGACATTCGCTAGGCTTCGCATGGAAATTGATATGACAAAAATGGCTTGGCGGCAATATCTATTTTGCGTAGCATATGTAATCTTTGGTTGTACTCTTGTAAGAATCTATGGTAGATCCTTCAGAATAATTAATAAGCAAAATTTCTAAAAACGAACAATGAAAACTGGATCTTACTATTCTTACTCCAAATGCCTTAAATGGTAGAACACTTGTAATTTCATGCTTGTCTGATAACTCTGATCATGTTACCAGGCTAAAGCTGGAAACAGGATCATTTGTAGACAATTTTTCTCTGAATATGGTCAATGCCACCAACAATGTTTGCCAAAAAGAGGAAGAGCACACAGGTTTCATAATCAGTATACAGTTTCCTAATAAACAATTTATATTATTTATAATACACAGTTACAGCTACTATTGACTCAGCCTGGGAGGTATCACTTAGCCTTGGGAGGTACCCAGGCCTCTATCTTGGGAGGGGTGGTGGAGTAAGGGACGTATTGTTGTGGAGTACCTGACATGTTCTCCTCATGGTCTGACATCCATGGGTACTTGGGACGGTTGGGGTCCTGCAACAGAAAGCCAAGTATCCTCTCAAGTAGGCCTAGGCTGTAGGATGGATTTAACAATTATCTCACAACGAAAAGTAAATGTTGTAATGATTCAGTTTCTGTTAAACATAACGCAATGTTTACTATCCAAATGTCAACATGACATGGAAAATGAATTTCATTATGCTTGTCAGCATAGAAATAACTGATACAAAATCTTACTAAGCTATTGAGTGTATACAAATAAGTATACAATTAAAACAGTGGAATTAGACAAACTGTTAAGTAGTAAAGGCAAATAAGTAATTTTAACCCTTCATGGGTGTCTTGGATTTTTAAACATAATCGGTGACACAAGGAAGTTTTTTCCTTGAAACATTAGACAAAAAATGTATTTTTATTGCTCAGAGGGGAGCGAGCGAGCTGGTCTAGTGGTAGAGTGCAAGACTTCGGTCTCTGATGTCCCGGGTTCAAATCCCCCCCAAATCACCAATAGATTTGATCTACGTGATAATGAAGCAACCCTTAGGTCTAGCCTGTAGTAATGTGAGAAATAATCCCGGGCTCGTGCCTAGCGTCCTAGGAAAAAATAAAAATGTAATTTTATAGACCTACATGATACATTTATACAAAAAGGTAAAAAAACCATGTTGGCTTATAGAAAAGTGTACATAAAATCAATTAAAAAAAGGGTGCTTACTTATTATACCGACCACACCAATAAATCAACTTCCAAAAAATAAGATTTTAATTAGTTTAAACAACAAAATCTTCCTGACCTAACCTAACAAACCTTAGGTTCGGTTATAATTATTAGGTGTGGTCGGTATAATACATAAATACCAACAAACCTTACTTGACATGTTTATAGAAATATGTAGCAAACAAAACAACAACACCATAGGTGGCACATGGAGCTACACTGGGCGAGCTGTGACACATGGGAGAAGTCTAATAACATATCATGTGCTGTTGTACTGGGAATCAATTTGATGTAGATGGGTTTTATCTCACATCCAGAAAAATGTTAATCCACTCATCTGGTGCAATGAATAAAAACCCTTTAAGAAGCAAAATGCTTATGGAGAATTGTCAGACTGGAATTTTGCCGCCGTAATATGCTTCGTGCGGCCGCTCCTAGGATCGCTCGAGCGGTGGCAGCGCTACTCTATCTCCCTCTCTCTCTAACCCAATTCTTACTCTCACTCTCTCTCACTCAGTCAGCTGATGATGACCTCTGGGGTCTTATGAAGCTTGGCCTTTTACTTTTAGTGCATTTTGCACAGTTTCCAGCCTACGCCTACCTATGCAACGTTTAAGACACAAAAGCCATTTTGCAAACAGGAATCTCTTAGATGGTATCATTCCGTTTCACCCTGACTGTATGGCAAAAATTACAGTCAGGAGTTTTTGGGTGTTCATGTAACTGCAATTATTATTGGGGTAAAATGTGCTGACTGGTCTTTCCACTTTCCTAAAGAATTAAAATCTTAGACATTTAGAATACTTTCAGCAGCGTCATAGACTAACCAAAACAAGTAGACTTCTCATCCCAATTGTAAAATTTGAAGCTCGTTTTTCAAGTCTAGTTTATGTTGGTGACACTGGTGGCTAGTGAGGACGAAATTTTGTTTCTATTATTTTAGGATTAATTTAACGATTTTTGCTTTACTGTTTGGTTATATAAGTAGGGGACGAGTTATTGTTTATGATTAGATTGTTCTATTTGAATTTGGTTAAACAAGTTTATTAATGACTTAAATAACAAGAAACAAATTGTAAACAAATACACAATCCTAGCGGCCCCGGAGGGAACTAACAATAAAATTGTCTTCAGCTTATCCATAAGGATAACAAATCTACTGTAGGAGTATAATTTATCTATGGCAGCATGAATGACATTAAATCAGAAATCAGAAATCCTTTATTGTCCTTAAGCAAAACAATCTTGCAATAGACATAGTGACATATTATGGTAAAATAGGGTTACACAGTAACCCAGTCAGACTAGATTAATAAGCTAATATCACAGACAATAACAGGTAAAAATTTAAAAGTTTAAAAGTAAAAAGAAGGCTGTATGCTGGGTGGAGAATATACTAGATAAACTATTAAACATCAAAACTTAACAACTTTTACATCAAAAAACTCTTTAATCACATAAAAAGGATGTTCAACAAGCCAGTTGTATAGCCTATCTTTAAAAACCAACTCAGGCAATGCTCTTGACTCAGAGTGCAATATATTGAATAACTTTAAGCTCATGATTGAATGGTTACTGGCACATGTACTTAGTCTAAGGGACGGAATTTCAAGTAGAGAGTTAGATCTAGTGTAACGAGAATGGAAATCTTTTCTAACAGCCAAGTCTCTTAATTTTAATTTAACATCAAGTAAACACACATATATGTACAGGTTAATGACAGTCAATATCCTAGTTTTTATAAACAAAGGTCTACAATGGGCTTTGAGAGCTGATTTGGTTACTATTCTAAGTGCCTTTTTCTGAAGTAACAAAACATCACTTATATTACTACCGTTACCCCAGAGAATCAGACCATAGCTTAACACTGACTGAAAAAAAACCAACCAAACATCAAACAGTTAAAATCTGGACTGGTTTTATGAGATTTTTATTCACATCAGGTTAATCTCCTATGTCAAGGCATTTTCTAGATTTCTCATTGATGAAGGTTTTCCATTTTATTATCACTTACATCACTTTCCATAGTTAATTTAAATTAATTATACACCAGTCACTCTAAATCACAAACCCCTGGGACAAAACTAAACTCACTTCACTTGTATACTGCTTCTGCCTCTAGCCAACTGAGCAGGTGGCTGTTTGTACCAGACCAAGACGGTCTGAACTGAAGGTTTTTAGCATGTACACAAAAGACTAAGTCCATGTTAAGCTTGTGCTGTAAAAATTAATTTGTAATATCTCCTCTTACACTAAACACAAATTCGGCATATCAGTAACAATGATTGTAGTGCTAAATTTTGTCTACTATAATGTCACAAAAAACTAATTTTTGAAAACTTTGGACTAGACACGTTTTTAGTTTGTAGTCTGCAATTCACATTTACAAACTCAACAAAAGTTGTGTTACAGTTTGAGATTTAAAAGTGATTTTTTAAGCAATTTTTGCGAAATGAATATATTTTTTTATCCTACACATGTTACTTCTAGAGATTCTGTGTGTGTGTTCTGTGTTTTTATTACTTCTAGGCCCAAGCCCGAGATTGTTTTTCACATTACTTCAGGCTAGACCTAGGATTTGCGGCATCATCACTTAGATAAAATCCATTGGTGATTTGGCGGGATTTGAACCCGGGACCTCAGGGACCGAAGTCCCGTGCTCTAACCATAATACATTTAGATATCATATTTATAGACCCTAAAGGCCTAATGCAAATCTCTAAGATTCTTTTAATCCTATAAAAATCCTGGTAGATAAAAAATAATTTACAAAATTATACTTTTATAGGTACAACAGTTTGAAAACAAGGTTAGGGCATACAAAGTTGGAAACAGGATTAATTTTAAGGATCACAAGTTACAAATTACTTTATTAATTCTTCTGGAGTACTAAAATAATACAGTAGAGTCCCGCAAACTCGGCGTAATGTGGACTGAAAGGGTGCCGAGTGTGAAATGCCGTGTTATTGGGAACTAGGATTAAAAATAAGAACAATACAATTTTAATGCTTTTTAACCGCCTTTTTTATTTGTATTTATATTACAAGTCAGTATTAATTCATCAGATATAGTACAACAAATCCTTGGTACGAGTTGTGATTGATTTGACTGCAACCTCAGGGTTTAGGGTTAGTGCTAGGAACTCTCTTTATTTTCCAATTTCCTTGCTAATCTTTTAATTTATGGGACTTTTTTGTGATACTAAAGTGATAGCCTTTTGATTATTTTCTTTACCAAATGTTATATTAAATTTAGATAGGATTGTTAAATTAAAAAAATTGATAAATTTAGTCTCTCAAGCACATGGCTTATAGCCTAATTTTAATGTCTGTTTGTTTCTAATTCCACTAAAAGTTTTTACTTGAATCAAAGATTTTATATAGGTTTTAACAACTATGAGGCTACTCGATCCACCTCAGAAATAATGTTCACAAATTTCCAACACCTAAATAGGCTAGTCTATAATAATTAAATGGGGATTACCAAGTTCAATTTTCTTCTCTGAAAAACCATTTCTTCTTGCCTGTATGGTATACAAAAATTATTCCTAATGGTTCCAGGTCTTCTTACTATTTGAAATAATAAACTATTTTGGTTTAGCTTTCACTTTTTATTAGAACATATTAATATTAAAACCACGCAAATTTGTTTCAAACTATTACCCAGGCTATTTCATGAAGAAGAAGGAGGAAGTCCAGTTGTTAACACATGTTTTACAGCAACAATGCACTCAGGTCTTCTATTTCTTAAAGTTCACTGTTCACTTTTAGTCACTCAGGCCAATTAAAAGTATATGAAATTTAATTTGGGTAAATTACTTTTTGAGATTTTGTTTAATTATATATATATTTATTTTTACTTTAGCTTGTGTTTGAAATAGATTGTAAACATATATTTAAAATAGGCTGTTAGGCTTAATTGACTGGTAATAGGCTATTTATATATTATTTAAATATACAAAAATTTATGAACTGTTGCATAACTTGAACTGGCTTGAGTCCATCTTTAATTCGGACTCAAAAAATCACTAATTATCTGAGCCAGGTGATGGCCGAGTTATCCAGACTGCCGGGTTATCGAGTGCCGAGTTTGCGGGACTCTAGTATATTTCATCACTAGGGCCTGAAGTGAGTCTTTTTGACCCGAAGTCAAGTTTTACGATCGTGGTGAAGCCGAGGTCAGAAAATGAGCGAGGGTTAAAAAGACACTTTTTGCCCGTGTGGTGAACTATATTTTTCGTCATATTGCATCATTAATCAACAAACTAAGCTAGAATACTAAATAATTTTTATGTAAAGATGACCTCTCAAAACGACTTCAATCTTGTTTTCAATTCTGCTAATGCAAATAAGCAGCGGTTTAGTAAGTGATTCAATTATTTTGTCTATTACGATTGTGTTACAAGTACATTATACCATCAATATGTCGAGCGATCGACAACAATAGGCTAACACTTAACCTAATAAATCAATCGATAAATAATTTTGATCGATACGATTGCCACTATCAAAATTTACAATTCTTTACAACAGCTGATTTTTACTCCCTAGGGACTAAACATGATTTTTATTCCCTAGAGAGTAAAAATGCTACTTAAGACCCACAACGCATGCATTAAAAACGGCTGTTTTTGCTGCAGTATGACGAAAAAACTATTTTTGTAACTAACTATGGATGTATTAGCAACACTACCTTGTGTGGTAGAAGGTCTGTTTTGTAATGCAGCCAGCCGAACCACTCAGCTGGGACCTGACTGCCGTCGTAATCCATCCAGTAGTGATCCGCGTACTCTACCCAGCGATTGCGGCCTAGACAATAAAGTGTTTAACAAGTTCATTGAGTCTTACTGTTCTATGACTCGTGTTATTAGGTTCATAACTACATACTTGTCTTGGAGGAAACATTGAATAAAATATTAATATTCAGGGGAAAATTATTAATGAAACATTATCTACAAAACGTTTAGATAGCCTATTCAGGTACAAACACTTTAAATTGGGATGAATACATTAGTCAGTTTCCAGATGTCTGCCCTGCAGCATATTATTGATACCAGGAGAAGTACGATTATTTATTATGCTTTTTTTTTGTCACATGTCCAACTAGCAGTTACCCGGCTTAACAACTATTATTTTAATTGGTAATTTGTTCTTTACAATGAATAATAAAAGTGTAAATCAAAAATAAAAATAGAATATTTTACTTAATTGCCAGTGGATTTAAACAATGAGGGCTCAAATGAAAGGCCTTGATCCCGTGACGGCGGGAAAAATAGTGAAATTTCCCAGATGTTAACTCAAATTTAGATATAACATAAAATGTTCTTTATAAGAATAGCATTAAAATTCATATACTGCTAATTTTTGTTTACTTCAATACAGCTGATTGAGATTCATCACTAAGCCAGTAAGCAATATTACTTTTGGATTAGGCCTACTCATTTGCCAGTCAGTTCTGCAATGTACTGTATAGGCCTACTATATAATACCCCGCCGCAGCAAACCTGCAGACTAAGCGAATTTCCATTTGCCTGATTGGATTTACACTAAAATGTCTCCTTAAAAATATCACATTTATTCCCTATTTAAATAACATTAGTTTAACGAGTACTTAGGTTTGCTGCAACAGGGAGGGTAAAAAGGTGTTGTTTTGTAAAATGTCAATAGTTTAATATGAAATGAATGCATTTTCCAAATGTGATCAAAATATGATCATAAACAAGCAAACTACAACAGTTTACATATTCTCCGTAAGAATAACATCGGAATTTTAAATTTACAGTTTTTTTTCCCCCTAACCATTAGGCACATAATAACGCTTCAATATACTAAATTATTTATTTTTTTAAGCTCTACAAAATGGTTTGAAAGAAAATGCTAAATTTTAAGTTTTTATGGTCAAATATGGGAAAAACCAATTTTTGCCCCATAAAACCCTCCATAAACCCCTGTTCCCTTAGTCCGATCATGCTGGATCTCGAACTCGTTCGAATAAACTTGGGTTTACACGTTTGTACCAAATTTCATCAAAATCGGATGATTTTTGCTCGAGTTATCCCGCTAACGGACACATATATAAATCTCTATATATAAATGCGAAATTCCGATCAACGCACAGGCCAAACCATAGCACCTAGAAGCATGAGATTTTGCATACATATTCCTCTTGTAGCGTAGGCAGACAATAAGAAGCGATTTTACAAAATCCCAATCGGGCCCGCCCCACAGAAGGTCAAAGTTACCATGGAGTTCATATAGGAAGAATAATTTGTTTTGGGTTTTTGTTTACATTTGTCTGCAATTTATTTAATGACCAGCTGTTAGAATAAAAATTAAGTTTACTAAGGTTATTTCGGACCATATAACCATCATAGTAGTGTGTCAGTGAAATTAACCTAATTTACTGTGGCGTTTTAATTTGATCAACTTCTAATATATTGTGTGATTAGTGTTGTAGAAAGTAGAGTTGAACTTATTTTTTATAGCATTTTAATTTGTAATAACTTATGATATAGTTCTGTTAATATTTTTGTAGTTATGGACACTGAGGATGTTATTGGTGAGTTCGTTCCACACAATATAATTCACATCAGAGGAGATGGTGCGTGTTTATTTACTTGACTCTTATTCATAATTCACCTTACACACATACACACACTAACTGTGCGCGAAGTAACTGTTGCACATGTTGTGAGGAACTGGGACAATGTCTCAATCTTATCCCACGACAGTGACGGGAATAATTACCTTAATTCCAGGGAATACTTCTATGAAATGTCTAAGCCGTTCACCTTTGGTGGGTTGTGTAAGCTGGATGTGGCTTCACAACTATTTACATTTTATTTCGAGGTTTATCGGAATGGTGAATTACCGTATATGTCAAGTTTGGTGGTGAACGTTTTCCTGTGAAAATACTCAGATTTACACTATCCCTGTCTAGCAGGCAATCCCGTGAAAATACTCAGATTTACATAATCTCTGTCTAGCGGACAATTCTACTTTTTAGAGCTTGAAAAGAGCCCGTTTCTTCCAATTGTCAGCCGATCCCGGAATCTCAACAAAATATATTAAGGCGTAAACGGCGTAGCAGCTGCACAGACAAACAAAGGAAAAAGTAGGTGAAGATTGCAAGCAAAAGTATAAACAAACTTATACTGAAAGACCAAAGATTCAATGGATGGTGAAAAATTTATCAGCAATGACATATAATAAGAAAATAGACTATGAAGGAAATAGCTTGGTTGGGATAGCCACCTTGACATTCAAATGTTTTTGTAACTGAATTGACTGAACGTTTTTTGGCACTTAAACAATAATTTTTTAAAAATTTCAACCAATTTTAAAGTTTCCGTTGCGAAGCACGGGTATTCTTATAGTATATATATATATATATGAATTTGAACGGATGGTGTTTTTGGTCTCTAGGGACCTCAAAATGAAAAATTAAATCGGTCCCGGGTCCAGGTTTTACCATGAGTACTACGGTAATAGCTTATTCCCTATAGGGGAAATTCGCTAAAACCAGGGATAGCGTTATCTTTAATAATTAAGACTTTTTAGTTACGTATTAGAATGTTGAAATAAATTATTTTACTGAGCAATTTACAAACTTGTGTATTTTTAAGTAAATTAGTTAAGCATGTGATAAGTAGCCTATAGGTCCGTTTAGAAAACGACCTGCGCAAAATTTTTAGCGCATGTAGGGGAGGTAACGGTGAGGGAGGGTACGTTCCCCCTCTCCGCCAATGGCCGTTTTCACAAGGTGTGTTCATAGTGACGTCATGTGCAAGCTGAACGTGTTTTATTTTACCAAATCATATGTTTTCTTGTAATTTCCCAAAGACTTTTGAATGACAATCATTACGAATTAGCATTGAATATATAACACTATTTAGCGTTTTATATCCAATATAGTGTTGTATTCAATATTGAATATAGTCATAGTGTTATACAGTACAGGGTGCGGCAAAAAACCGATCCATTTTCTGCAGAGCACTGTTCAGCGACAGGTTGTCTAAAAGTGGTGGGAGTAAGCTCGTTGGAAAGCCTACACGATGCCATTTTTTCTAGTCACAGAGCAGTGGTCGCCTGAGCTACGTGCGGTTGTTATGGAGTTGTTTTTAAAAAGTATTGAATTCATCCATTGCAACTCAGCGACAGCAGCATAAGCAGTTTCGTGCATTCTTTAAATTAAGGCGACATGGAGAAGTTCCGTTGCGTATAACAATAATGCGGTGGGTTACTAACTTTAGAACAACAGCTTCTGTGTTGAAAAGGAAGCTGAAAGGCCGACCAAAGTGAGATCGGATGCCAGACAACGAACATTCGACAGAGTTCGTACTGCTGTGGAAAACAGTCCTCGCAGGCCCGTCCGAAAACAAGCGGCTTGCCCAACATGTCTGACTGCTCAGTTACACAAATTTTGAGGTTAATTTTAATCCCTACAGATTAGTTATAATAATAATCTATTTAATGGTGTTATCCATACAGGTAATCACGATGGAACCTCTCCATGCCGAATTAATAAATAAAAGCACGGAGTTGCAACATAGACTAAGCAAAACAAGTAGACTCCTCATCCCATTGTAAATATTGAAGCTTGTTTTTTGTGTCTATTTCATGTACGTCCGCACTGATCGCTGGGGTAGACAACATTTTGTTTCTATTATTTTAGGGTTATTTTCATAATTTGTGCTTTACTATATGGTTATATAACTAGGAGACCAGTTATTGTTTATGATTAAACCGTTTTATTTGGTTAAATGAGGTGTTAAATTACTGAAATAACAAGAAACAAATTGTAAACAAAACATAACCTCTATAGTTGGATGTACAGAACTAACAATAAAATACCCCAGCCGCAGCAAACCTGCAGACTTAGCGAATTTTCATTTGCCTGATTGGATTTACACTAAAATGTCTCCTTAACAATATCACATTTATTCCCTATTTAAATAGAATTAATTTAACGAGTAGGTTTGTTGAAACAAGGAAGGGTAAATATAAAAAATTGAACGAATGATGTTTTGGCCTCTGGGACATCAAAATGAAAAAGTAAATCGGTCCCGGGCCTAGGTCTTACCATGCCACCTAGTCTACGGTAATAGCTACTTCCCTATAGGGAAATTCGCTAATTTGCTTCAGCTGTTCCATAAGGATGACAAATCTACTAAGGGAGTATGATTTATCTATGGTTGCAATTACTGATTTACTACTTTTTTAAAGCGACTGGATAACTACTGCACGTAGCTCATACAACCACTGCTCTATTATTACAAGAAATGTCATCGTATATGCTATCCAACAAGCCTACTCCCACCACCCTCAGACGGCCTGTCGCTGAACAGTGCACTGAAGAAAATAGATCGGTTTTTTGCCGCACCCTGTATATTCAATGGGGGTAGTATATAACATTTTGATAGTGAGTACCTTTTAATCGAAAAACAGTGAGCAGTAAATACTGTAACTGTGGCTGCCTAACAGTAACAGACTGCCTAAATTTGGGAAGAGCCAAATTCTGTCTCACTCCCACAGCTCGGTATCTCTCTCTCGCACCAATGCTACGAGGAGGACGCTTTCTAAGCGGCCGACCTATAGTAGAATCCTAGGATATGGCTCCAATCAAAGGAATTTAACTTAGAATGGCTGAAAAAAGAATGACATTTTTTCTTCTAATTTGGAGGTTATTGTTTTGTTGAAGGAATGTTTAACATGAAATAACCGCATTGACTAAATAATAAACGATTCAAGATTAAATGGAAAACTTCTGGTTTGTTTTGATTTCAAAACATCTGTTAAAGATTTATTCT